CACGCATGCCAGGAGAGCGCGCTACCGCTTGAGCCATATCCCCAGCCCTAAAAATGTTTTTTGAGACAGGACCTTCCTAAGTTGCCCAGGCTGGCCTTGACCTTGTGATCCTCTGCCTCAGCTTCCTAAGTTGCAGGGATTACAGGTGTGCCCTACCACTCCTGGCTCTCATTGTGGGGTTTTTTTATTTTTATTTTTTTTTTTTAAAGAGAGAGAGAGAAGAGAGAATTGTTTTTTTGATATTTATTTTTCAGTTTTCATTGGACACAAAATCTTTATTTTATTTTATGTGGTGCTGAGGATCGAACCCAGCGCCTGGCACATGCCAGGCAAGTGCGTTACAGATTGAGCCACACCCCAGCCCTCTCATTGTGGTTTTGATTTGCATTTCCCTGATGACTAGTGATTTTGAGCACCTATTCATGTGCTTATTGCACATTTGTATATTGTCTTTAGAGAAATGTCTATTTAAGTCTTTTGCCCTTTTTAAAATTGGAATGTTGTTGGGTTTATGAGTTCTTTATATATTTCAGATGTTAATCCCTTATCAGATATATCATTTGCAAATATTTTTCCCATTCTGTGCTTTTTTATCCTATTGGTATTATTATCTTTTGTTGTACAAAAGTTTTTGATTTTATGAAGTCCAATTTGTTTACATTTTGTTTTGTTGTAACTCCTTAATTTTTTATGCATAGTTGTTTGGCCAGTCCAAAATAGACCTGGTCCCTTGCATTTTCAAGAGTTTTTAAATTACAAATTCACTTTCTTCCATGAGAATAGGGCTGTTTCTTTGGGGAGTTTGTGGTTTTCTAGGACCAGTCCATTTCATCTAAGCTGCTGGGTTGTGACACCTGCAGGCTCCGTGTCATCTTATTCCTGGTTATTCCTGGTGACCGTTTCTATCACGGTCAGTCTTACCAGAGGCTTATCAATTTGGATTTTTTGTTGTTGTTGATTTTTCTGTGTTTACCTGTTTCCAGATTCGTTGATTTCTGCTCTTGCCCTTGTTATTCCTGCTTGCTCTGGTTTATCTTGCTCTGGGTTTATCTTGCTCTTCCTTCCCAGCTTCTCGAGGTAGAGCTGGGTTATTGATCTGCAGTCTCCCTCTTTGCTTCTGCTCTTGGCACTGCTCCACCTGCAACCCATGGAGCTCGACACGTTGCCTTGGCATTTTCATTCAGTCCTGTGTGTGTTTTACGATTTCCTTTGAGGCTTCTTCAACCAGAGGATTACTTAGAAGAAGGTCCTTTAATTTCCAAGTGTGGAGACTTTCCAATTATCTTTTCTGTTATGGATTTCTAGGTTTATTCCTTTACAGCCAAAGGATTCTGTATGATTTCAGTTCTTTTAAGTTCATTCAGGTTCCGTCTGCCATGGTGATGTTTTGGGATGCTTGGGTGGGGGGGGAAGCATGTGTTCAGTTGCTATCAGGTGGAGCATTCTGACTCAGCAAGAGTGGAGTGTTGAAGTCTCCCACTAGAATTGTAGATTTGTCTATAGATCCCTTAGCTCTGTCAGTTTTGCTTTGTGTGTTTTGAAGCCCTGTTGTTTGGTGCATACACATTTATTGTGTCTTCCTGGTGGGTCAAACTTTCTGTCATTGTGTAATGTTTCTCTTTGTCTTTAATAACGTTTTTCCTTCTGAAGTTTACTTTATCTGATACTAACATAGCCACTCCTGCTTTCTTTTTATTTATGTTGCATGACTAATGTTTTCAATCCCCAGTGAAGAGGAGTAAAGAAAGCGGAGTGCCAGCCACCCCACCTCCACCTCTCTCACTCCGCCCACTGATGCTGGTGGGGGTCAGAGTGGGTGGAGCTCAGCTCCTCACCAGGCCACACGGTGGCAATGCAAGGAGGAATCAGAGTGCAGCTGTCCTGCGTCGCATCATCTCCTTCCCACCCTTTGATGCCAAGTGGAGTTGAGGCCCAGCTCCACAGCAGGACCACACTGGCACTGTGCTGGGGGGCAGAGCACCTCCTGCTACCCTGGGTGGAGACAGGATCAGCTCCCTGCTTGGCCCCCGCCAACACCAGCTGGTGCCCACTAGGGGGTCAGGGATGTGGCACCTGCTTTTGTGGGGCTGGAAGATCAGTCCCAGGGTGGCCCTGATGAACTCTGGGGGTAGGTGCAGTTTCTCCTTGGTCTTTGGCTCGCACAGAACTGTTGTTACCCAAAAGATGTTTCTGTCGTTAGTCCACCGTGGACATACTCCTGGCCTCAGTTGTGGGACTGCTGCCCTTCTTCCTCAGGGATCCTCCCCCTGACCCAGGCTTACCATATGACCCTGAGATCCCACACTCAGGAATCCACATGAAAGAAGTGGATTCTCTGCCCTTTCCACATCAAGGAGGCCCTGACTCTGGTGGGTTTATTTGGTCCACGTCTGCTTGGCAGGTTTTTTGGTTTTTGTTTTTACATGAAGTTATCTTTAGACTTTTTTTTTTTTTTTTTTTTTTGGTGTCCAGGATTGAACCCAGGGGTGCTTAACCACTGAGCCACATCCCCAGCCCTTTTAATATTTTTTATTTAGGGACAGGGTCTCACTGAGTTGCTTAGGGTCTCCAAGTTGCTGAGGCTGGCTTCGAACTCAGGATCCCCCTGTCTCAGCTTCCCAAGCCACTGGGCTCACAGGCGTGTGCTACCGTGCCTGGCCATCTTTAGCATTTTTATCAACTTAGCTGCAGCCTCCTGGTAACTGACTTCCGATTCCCCCTCCCCCTCTTCTTTGTCAAGCCTTCTCTTCACAAGGATCTGGTTTCTTTAGACCATCCTCTTTTTCAGTTGTTGCTGCTCTCCTCCCTTGTCATACTTATTTGTTTGGCCCTGGTAGGTGGCATTGGCCATAGTCACACAAAGAAGTTGGAATGACTGATGAGGCCCCTAAAGGAATCTGAGTGTGGGATGGAGGTGGGATGGGAGGGAGGACAGAGGGTGGGCCTTCTGGGTGGGAAAGAAAGGGCTCACTGGATCTCAGCCTCTAACCCCGTGTTTCTGGTCTCTCCAGGTTCGTCCATTAGCGCCATGCCCGATGTCTCCATGAAGCTGAAGTGAGGGGTCCAGCTGCGGGCCCAGCCCTGGCCAGGGCAGCATGACCAAGCCCCGGCTCTTCCGGCTGTGGCTGGTGCTGGGTTCCGTCCTCATGATCCTGCTCATCATCGTGTACTGGGACAACGTGGGCACTGCCCACTTCTACCTGCATACATCTTTGTCTAGGCCGCATACCCTGGAATCCCTGCCCACCCCCGGACAGCAGGAGGAGAAGGAGTTTGCATCTGATGTGGATGAGTTTTTGGATAAGCTCCTAAGTTCCGGCTCGAAGCAGAAAGACCTTTCCAGGAAAAAGACGGAGCAGTCCTTGCTGGCCTCTGGCAAGCCGGCGTTGAGCCACCTGGAGGAGAGTGTGCGGGGCTACGACTGGTCCCCCCATGATGCCCAGCAGAGCGCCGACCAGGGCCAGCAGCAGGCCGAGAGAAGGAGTGTGCTGCGGGACTTCTGCGCCAACTCCAGCCTGGCCTTCCCCACCAAGGAGCGCTCCTTCGATGACATCCCCAACTATGAGCTGAACCACCTCATCGTGGACGACCGCCACGGGGTCATCTACTGCTACGTGCCCAAGGTGGCCTGCACCAACTGGAAGCGCATGATGATCGTGCTGAGCGAGAGCCTGCTGGACGGCGGCGCGCCCTACCGCGACCCGCTGGACATCCCGCGCGAACACGTGCACAACTCCAGCACCCACCTGACCTTCAACAAGTTCTGGCGCCGCTACGGCAAGTTCTCCCGCCACCTCATGAAGATCAAGCTGAAGAAGTACACCAAGTTCCTGTTCGTGCGCGACCCCTTCGTGCGCCTCATCTCGGCCTTCCGCAGCAAGTTCGAGCTGGAGAACGACGAGTTCTACCGCAAGTTCGCGGTGCCCATGCTGAGGCTGTACGCCAACCACACCAGCCTGCCCGCCTCGGTCAGCGAGGCCTTCAGCGCCGGCCTCAAGGTGTCCTTCGCCAACTTCATCCAGTACTTGCTGGACCCCCACACCGAGAAGCTGGCGCCCTTCAACGAGCACTGGCGGCAGGTGTACCGCCTGTGCCACCCGTGCCAGATAGACTACGACTTCGTGGGGAAGCTGGAGACCCTGGACGAGGACGCCGCCCAGCTCCTGAGGCTCCTCAAGGTGGACACGCGGCTCCACTTCCCCCCGAGTTACCGGAACAGAACTGCCAGCAGCTGGGAGGAGGACTGGTTTGCCAAGATCCCCCTGGCCTGGAGGCAGCAGCTCTACAAACTCTACGAGGCCGACTTTGTGCTCTTCGGCTACCCCAAGCCCGAAAACCTGCTCAGAGACTGAGCCCCTGCCTGAAGGTGCGCTCCTTCAGCTCCTTCAAACTGAGCAAGGGTCGCAGGGCGTCTCCTGAGGACAGGGCTGTCCCGGGTTTTCCTCCCAGTTTGATGCAGTCGGAAATGCCACGCGCTCCCCTGGGGAGACCGCCGGGGGAATCTGGGCCGCAGCACACACACTCCAGTTTTTTTTTTTAAATAACCCATGGTTTTGCAATCCGGACTCATTGTTTACTCCACAGCCTGTATTCATTGAGCACTGTTAATACTGTTTTGTAAGATTAATATATTTCAGATATTTAATATGAAAGTGGGAGGAAGCTGGAGTAAAGCGTGGCACCTGCGCTCTCACTAATCTCGTGGTTTTTCAGATCTGGAAACACATGCAAAGTGGGGCCTGGTGGTCAAGGGGCTCCAGACCTACACACTGCGATGGAGGAGGGAGGCGGGAGGCATCTTAAGCGTCTTCAGTGGAGAAAAGGCACCTAAACTTGAAGTTGGGCTGTTTAAGTCAGGTTTTTGTTACTATAACAAAATCCCCAAGGCGGAGTAATTTCATAAATAAAAGAGGTTTGTTGCCTCACAGTTTGTAGGTTCAAGGGCCTGGTGCTGGCATCAGCTTGGCTCTGGTGAGGATCTAGGGCAGGTGGCAGTGAAGGGACTGTGTGTGAGAGGGAGAGATTGTATCAGCAGACAGGAGGCCAGAGCCCAACAGGATCACAGCCTCATCTGAGGTTTCACCCACTCAACCTAAGGACCTCCCTCACCCAGACCTACCTGACCAAACCCAGCACATGGACCTCCGTCATCACACCCACTCCCATACTGTAGCACAGGCCTTGCCTGTTTTTGTAGAAGGGCAGCAGACAAATCCGTCCAGGGTGAAAGCCTTTTACTAAGTGATGTATTTGAGCAACCAGATCTTTCAGGCTTTCTGTTGAGAGGGGTCATGGGTAAACCGTCTTCGGGTCAGAGTCACAGAGGAAAGCCCTTCTCACTGCAGCCCTCCCTTTAACCCAAGTTCAGTCGTGGCTGTCAGGATTTGCAGCCAGCAGGGATGGTGTGCACTGGAGGTTGTCCCTGGGACACGTTTTCTGTGGTGTCCAGCATTACTGAGGAGAGCTCAGGTGCCACCGTCTTGCAGCCTGGGAGCTTTAGCTCCAGTGCTGTTCACCCTCAAGGACATGCCTGACTTTGAATGTGCAGGTCTGAAGGACCCAGCTGGGTGGGAGCCCCAGAGAGCTGAACAAGGAGGCTTGTTCAGCATCCGGCTCACGCTCCTGGGCAGTTTTAGTTTGCGACCTGCAACACAGGCATCTGGGTCTGTGCTGCAGCAGCACATTGGTCTTTTCCTTCCATCTAGGGATTGGTCATTGCCTCCCAGTCCCTGGAGAGCTGGCACTGCTCAGTGGGGCACCATCTGCATCTGCCTAGGCCCAGAGGGACGAAATCCTTGGAGGTTGTGGCTGCTGGGTGCCCTCAGCTCTGCCTCCACAGTGTCACCCAGCTTCCTTTAGAAGCATCTTTTCTTTTTAAACAGCAGCAGATGTGTCGAGCAGTCCAATGCTAGGCAACTTCTGAGTAGCCCCATGTCGGCACCTGCTGGGTACCCTGCTCACCACAGAGTTGTCTCTGGTGCCTGGTAAGCAGGGCACCATGCCTATGGACAAGTCAGCTGCTAATTGTGCCTTCAAGCCCTGTGGTGAGGTGGGAATCTTCTGCTGCCAGGCCAAAAGTTGATCCCCTTTGGGGACAGTGCACAGAGGAGCACAAGGCTTCCTGCAGAAGGCGCACTTGGGCCAGGCCTGTCAGAGGGTGAGGTTTTGACTCTTGAGGTGGAGCGCAGAGCATCAGGAAATGTGGGGCTTATCAGGGGAATAGAGAGGGTGGCACAAGCTCTACAGTTAAGTGTGGACCACATATTGCCTCATCTCTGCTCTGACACCCACATATCCTTGGCATATTTCTCTAGGGAGGAAAGAGGTGGAGCCAGCCACGGTGGGTGGTGCACACCTGTAACCCCAGTGACACAGGAGGCTAAGGCAGGAAGATCACAAGTTTGAGGCCAGCCTCAGCAACTGGGATTTAGCTCAGAAGTAAAGAGCCCCCAAGTTCAATCCTTTGTGCCACAAAAAAAAAAGAAAAAAGAAACAGGATGTGGGTCTAGTTTTGACCCCAGGGCCTGTCACATGGCCACCACCCTGCCAGGATGGGATGGGGTCACAGATGCTCTAGAGGTCAGGTGGTCCAGTGTGACGTCTGCTTCTTGACCGTCAGGCCAGGAGCCGAGGTTTCATTGGTAGATGGCTGCCACAAATATTGATGTTTTGGACAGAGGAAGTTGGGTGCTTTGGGAAGGCCAGTGCTGTGTGAGTAAGGGGAGTGAAGGCAGAGGGGGGCCTGAGAGGCAGGGAGATAGGTCAAGAGGCCACTGCAGCTGCCCACAGAGAGGGTGCTGGACCCAGCGGAGCTGACCGATGGGCAAAGGTGCAGCCTGAGGTCACCAGCCTGCAAACCCTGGAGACGGGAGCACAGAGCCTGCGAGAGGGGCAGCACCTTTTCCTCTCTGTGTCGGTGAGGAACAGGGCAGGAGGATCCAGAGCTACCTCGTTCACTGCTTCCCGTGTTCTGGGGTACCAGCAGGTGCATAGGAGGACCCCTCAGGCCTGCTACTCTACCCTCTGGTGTGGGAGAGGCAAAAGCAGGTGGCCCTGGAGAGTGTGGCAGGGACCGTCGGCTCTTTTCTTACAATTGTTTTCATTTGATAAAATTCACAACACATAAAATCCAGTATTTCGACTATTTTTAAGCACATTCACTTGTGCTGCCCACAGACTCATATTCCCAGCCTAATGACTGTCCCTGTTCAACACTGCCTCCCTCAGCCCCCACCCCCAGGCCCTGGCTCCCACCATCTCCGTCCTGTCTACAGGGCTTTGACAATTCTAGGGATTTCAGAGAGGTGGACTCCTACAATGTTTGTCCTTTTGTGATTGACTGATTTCACTTTCCATCATGTCCTCAAAGTTCATTGTGTTGTAGCACACATCAGAATGTCTTTCCTTCTTGAAGCCAAATAACAAAATGCTCTGTTGTGTGATGGATCACATTTATTATCATTTTTCACAGTATTGGAGATTGAACCTAGGAGCACGTACATGCCAGGTGAGTGCTCTACACTGAGCTACATCCCAGGCTACTTTATTTTTATTTTGAGACAGAGTCTTGCTAAGTTGCCCAGGCTGGCCTTGAACTTGGGATCCTCCTGCCTTGTCCTCTGGAGTAGCTGGAATTACCACTGTGCCCAGATAATGACCACATTTTGATCATCCACTTATCTGTCTGATCTTGGGTTGTGTTCATCTTTTGTGAATAATGCAGCTATGAACAGGGGTGTGCAAATATCTGAGTCCCTGCTTTGGATTCTTCTGGGTCTATAGGAGTGGAATTTCCAGGTCCTAACTGACCTGCTAACTTTTTATAAACTGAGTCATTGTGGGAAACACAAAGAATGTGTTCAATTGGACTGACTGATATGTTTGTATTGCAAATTATATGTCACAGTTTTAGGGTGAGTTGAGAACATTCTGGGGAAAAAAAACAAGATTATATTTGTGCCAGTTTCAAATCTCCTTTATTTTGTATTCAATACATTGTGAATTTTACCAGAGTCAAAAAATTTGAGTAGCCAACATTATGGAAACGAATCCCAATGTTAAAGTATATCATGAGGATCTGCATCTGAGAGCCCCTGGTCCCTATGTCTGTCCAAGTCATCTCACCGAAATGGTTCATTTAGAGGATGTTTAGGCAGATGTCAGAATGTCTGGAGCTGTTTGCTCATTGAGGAAGGACCCAACCCTCCTTCCTTTCTGCCTTCTGGGTTCTCGGTGTAGTTCTACCACAGGTCGGTGTTCCTGAACACCTGGGGTGTTTGCAGGGATATGAAAGGGGTTCCAGAATGAACACTAGCCCCGTCTACATACTCATACCCAGATTTCACACCCAGAACCATAGTAGGAGCTTTCACCTGGGCTAGGACCAACTCAGGATTCGATGGCAGAGAAGGACCCCCTGGGCCATAGGAGACAGGCTTGGGAAGAGTGGGCCCCGCCTGGCCCCAGTGTGGAGCCTGTGAGTTCACCCAGGGCAGAACTCATTTCCCCTGATTGTCTGCCTTTCCTCTGACCCATGGTATATGGTATGCAGAAATTTGACTTTTTTTTTTTTCTTCTGCAAAGATAAGACAAACGACGATTTTAAAGAATTAATCCTGTGCAACTAGATAATTTAACCAAACAATCCAAATACTTAGAATTTACTTAGGATTCTTCCCACCCCACCCCCGCTCACTCTGAGGGATGGAACCCTGGGCCTTGCACACTTGGTAAGTGCTCTACCACTGAGCTGCACCCATGTAGACGGCTTCACCACAGCCACAGGCCTGGTCCTCAGTGCCATGTCATGGTGTACAGAATCCTCTCAGGTGGGTTATGGGAGTGCTGGGCCTGTTGACAGCGAAGGGACTGTCCTGGATGGGGCCTGCACCCACTGTGCACTCGTCACCTGACCTTGGGTGCTGGTTCCCACCTCCCCCAGCACTCGAGCTGGGTGTGTGCAGGGCGCGTGCATGGCCCCCGTTCCTCTTTCCACTTAAAATGCCTTGTGCCAGTGGCTTCTGAGGAGCACAGAGGTGGCCTTCACTGTCCTTTCACCGCTTATTTGAGAAGTGTTTTCAACTCTTTGAAGAATTTGAGTTTGGTTTCTCGCCCCATGACTCAATAGAGGGCAAGAACTGGATTCCCTTTCTCTTCCCAGTGAGAGGCACTGAGCAGGCAGCTTGTCAAGGGGGGCTTTCCCCCAGCCCCCCCCCCTCAACCCCTTGCCAGAGAGACGAAGGTGATAATCGCAGCTTCCAGGCCTGCAGGGAGCCTGAGCCATGTAGGTGTGCGGGTGCAGTCTCGGGGGTTTTCTGTGTGGAGTCTATGCTCTCAGACACAATGCACCTCCTATTTGGCCGGCGTGTTGCCATGTGTGGATCTCGCTCCCATCTGGAGCTGTGCCCGGCGGCTGTGCCCACTCAACTGCTTATGAATGAAGGAAGGAAAAACGAAGCCATTGAGCCTCACTCCAGCCTCCTGAGCTCTGAGGGCCGCATCACTGCCCCACAAATTTATTAGGTGTCTAAGGCCCCGGGAGGCGCAGTTATAGGCCCTGAGGTCATGGGGCTTGGAGCCCATTCTCTCTGACTTCCTGCACTTGCTAAGCACAACATTCCTGGGGGAAATGAACTGTTTCATCTCGGCTTCAGCATGTGTCTTTATTAGCTTCCTGCATTGTCTTCCTCTTGCCTCCTCCCTGAGGGTGTGGGAATTGTGACATTTTCTGTTCACTTTGGGCAAACCCTCAAAGGAGGGACACCTGTGTGCCTTGGGAGCTGGAAGAGCAGCCAAGCTGGAGGAGGAGGGTGCCTCTCAATCCAGCTGCATGGGCTGCAGGGATTGGGAATGCAGGCAGGGGTTCTGCCAGGCTGCCCACCAAGCCCTGGTCCCCAGAGGGAGATGAAGGGTGGATGGGAACAGCTCCCTGGGCTGGAAACTGCACTTTCTCCCATGTGAAGCTAAGCGGAATGAATGTGTGTGATTTTGTTGGTTGGCCACCTGGTGTACACTGCATTGCCAGGGCTCTCCCAAGCTGCCCTAGGCCCTTTCCCTAGAGGTGAGCCACCTCGGACACACTTTTGTGAGGACCTCACTCTGGAGCAGGGGTTCCAGCCCCTGGCTGAGTGGTTTCCTGCAGCAGGACTTTTGAGGACACACTGACATTCCCAGAGCCTTCCCTTGAAGTTATTTGAAAAAAGGCTCTTTCCTGGTGGGGTTCTTTCTGCATTGTGATGCTCCTGGCAGGGCGCTGGGGACAGTCTGTTCTCATCAGTGTCCCCGCCCTGAAGAATAACAGACTCCCAAATTTCACGCAGTTCTACAGAACTGATCCCACCCTCGGATGCACCCCAGGCCGGGGAAGCTCCCAAACCAGTTATCCAGGGATAATTATTGCTCACTTATTTTTAAACCACATGCCAAATCCACACTCCAAAAACCCCAAAATATAATAAAGTAAAATTTACGTAGCATAGACAAAATTAAATCTAATGGTATTTAAATGTTTCTTCTGAAAGGGAAAATTGGAGTCGCTACTTGGAGGAGGTGTCTGCTGTTTTCTGCCTAGACACATACCTCCGGCTGGTCCAGGAGTCCATCTCTTCCTCCCCCGCCCAGCCTGGGAGAACTGAGTAGGGCTGTCCCCACCCCAGGAGGGAGGTGAACATACCTGAGCAATTAGTTGCTCACTGTGCAGGGTGAGGCTCATAACCAACAGGGACCAGCGTCCTTTGCTGGGGAATCTGGGAACTGTGCTGCTGGTGGGACAAAAGTTCAGAGAACTCGTGATCATCTGTGTCCTTCCTAGAACAGCCAACCTGAGACCAAGACCAACAGAAGACCAAGGGCCCAGGACCATCCAGATGATTCAAGCTCTAAAGTAGATCTACCTGCACTTTTCAAGTGTGGGGGCCAATTAGTTTCTAAAGCTAATTTGAGTTGGATCTGTGGCGTTCAACCTACAGGATCCTGACTCACACAGTGTTCAATTAATATGTTGACATTTGATGAACTGTGATTGAAGACATTCCATGAATGGAGAAGCCACATGACCTTTGGTGGGTGTAGGTTAGTGTTCCTGTGGGTGCCAGTAATTTCTTAGCATTATGAAATGTTATAAATGTTTCCTGAACGCTGCTGAAATGCTCACTTATTTATAAACCACATGCCAAATCCATGGGGCAAAGATTCCCTCTGAAGTTGCCAGTTCAAACCAGCAAAAAGACTAATTGAAGAATGTGGGAGCTTTTCCCCCTTGGAATTATTTCTTGGTCCATCGTGGAGAGGGAAGCTAGTGAAAAATGACACCTGGCTGGAAGGCATCGCCACATTTGTCCTTGGGTGCTACAGATCCATGTGGATGTCATTCCCAGGCCTGCCTGCATGATTCACGGTGGCCAGCCGGTGGCCATCTGGAGAGCATTTGTTCAGGGATGGGGCCACCACGCTTGTCTGACAAGGGTCTGTTGTGACTCTGACAGTGATGAATGAACACAGTCCATCTTACTTCCTTTTGCTCTTTGCTTGTTTTCGGTTCTGGGATTTGGGGTGCTGGCTGGGAGCTGGCTAACTGGTAGGACTCAGTGCATGTGCAGGCGATTGGAGAAGCTGATTGGGAAGCCACAGCTCAGGTCTTTGGGTGAAGTTTTTCCTGAACTTGGAGTTAGAGGATCTAAATTCTCCCTGCACTTTGGGGGACTGCACTCACTTGGACAAGCTGAAGCTGGTGTTGGAACCCCACTGGGCTTTAGAGAGAAGGGTCCTCACAGGGAGATGCTGCAGGTCAGGTGCCCAGCCCGAGGGGTCTGTGAACTGATTTGTTATTATTCATAGTTATCTTCTTTTTGGATGGACATTCTTTGTCATGCCGATTGAAAGGTTTTTGTATACTCAAAACAAAAGTGCTCAGGTCTATCTGACAGAATGAGCTGTTTGAAGGATGGCCAGAAACTGATATAATTCTGTCTTCTCCTGGATTTGTCTGGGGCTGGGACAGCCAGCAGTATTTCTTGTGCTTTCATTTCCACAGTCATGTGAAATGACTACCTTATGAGCAGCAGTAAGTCCTTTTGCCTGGGAGCACTTTGAAATCCTTGGGTGAAAAACCTGAGGTTTGCTCTTTTCTCCTTCACTTAGCATCTAAGTGTGGATGCTTAGTGGAGACATAATTGTGCCTTTCTGGGACAACATTCTTCTTATAAGATTTCAAGAGGTTCAAAGAGCTGGGTGCAGTGGTGTATGCCTATAATCCCAGCAACTGGGGAGGCTGAGGCAGGAGGATCTCAAGTCCAAGGCCAGCCTCAGCAGCTTAGTGAGACCCTGTCTCAAAGTAAAAAATGAAAAAGGGCTGGGGATATGGCTCAGTGATAAAGCACTTCTGGGTTCAATCATCAGTACTAAAAAAAAAAAAATGGAGAGAGAGAGAGAAGTTCAAAGTGTGGTTGTGCTCAGTAAGTCCTAGACCTTCAGCAGAGGCTAATGCAACTGGTCTGGAGAATTCCCACAGGGCTAGAGGATGAACAGAGCAAGAGAGAGAGTGTAGAACCTAATTTAGTGCATAATGTCAGGGCCAGCCTTCGGATGCAGAAAGCAGGCCCTCTCTGGGATCCAGCTTGCCCACCCTGTGTGGCCCACACCCCGCTCTCCGCCCCACAAGGCCCTGGAAGCCACATCCAGAGAGAGGGCCAAGATACTGGGCAGTGACTCACAGCCTCTGATCTTCTTCCCCCAAACCAGAGTTCAGCTTTTGGAGTAAGGGCCTTAAAAATGCTTTTATACTCAGTAAAATCATGCTATGAATAAAATTGCTGTGTTTTGTCGTCGTTAGATGGCAGGTCATCCTATTTAAAAGAATGGACTTCTCACAAGAGTAAAAAAAAAAAAAAATGATAACCTGGGGCTGAGGGTATAGCTCAGTGGTAAAGCACTTGCCTGGCATGCGTGAGGCCCTGGGTTCAAATCCC